CTCAATTATGAAGATTTAAAAATAGTATTAAAGGGGCAATCTGTTCTGCAACTTCTCGGAAGAAATAATTGTTGATTTAGATAAGCACTGATCCCTTCAGTGTTTGATGAAGACGTTAATTTATGGCTGTCTAGCAGTTTATGGCTGTCATTAGATTTTCAGCTTTGTCTTTCTTCGAAATGTATCTTTATTTTTTTATTTTAATCCGAGACAATTACGTAAGAAAACGGTTATGTTTGATCTAAAATACATCATTTTCCTATAGCATTTCAAATTATTCACAGATCATAGTTCTTATATGTGCATATATGAATTTAAAAATACAGCAGTAAAGTGCTTGAAACAGACCATAAATTTGCTTCCTATTTTATTACACGTCTCTGAATCAGGTTGAGAGGACAAGGGCAACTAGGGGCTTGGGGAAGGATTTAACCCTTCCCGAGGCTGGAGAACGAGCCGAACCTGACCAAATTCCCCTCCGGAGCGCTTCGGGGGCGGGTGTGGGCGGGCTGGGTGACACCGAGCTGATGAGTGACCAGGGGTAAATGGGGCTGGCTGCAGCTCTGTGCTCGTTTAGCAGATGTCCTCTCCGCGACGTGGAGGGCTGCTAGGAGCCCCCGGGTGGGGCTGGGGGCCGGGGCAGCCGTGCCGCCTCCCGCTCCCGGCTCCTTTGCCCCTGCTCCGGCGGGATGGCAGCGCAGGAGCGGGCACGATCGGCTTAACCCCTGCGGCGCCTGCCTAAGCCATGCGCAAGGCTGCAGGGAGAGCCTGCCCTGCGCCCTCCTTGGGCTCCGCTAGAGCCGGAGCTTTCCCCGGCGGGCGGCAGCGACCCCGCGGAGCGGGGCCCAGAGCGACTTCCCCAAAGTTTTGTCCCGCTCCGACAAGGAGCTCTCCCGCTGTTTGCTTAGAGCCTCAGCATCAGTCCGGCCTGTGCGCAGCAGCGGTGCGATCAGAGTTACAAATGATCCTGGAGAGAGTCGCGGAGTCCCGGCTCGTTTGTTTTACCCCCCAACATCCTCCCACCACCACCACCACAAAAAAAAAAAAAAAAAAAAAAAAAGTGTTAATTGCTGTAAAGTTTCCGAGCACGTGGATAATTTACTTTGACTGCTGAGTTTTAATTAAAAGCAAACTTATTTATGTTTCTGATGTTTATATTACGCGATTTAATTACGTTTAGAGGCAGCGTCGCACTTTTTTCCCCCTTCCACCCTAAATCACATTTTCATTAAAGGTTTTAATAAGAAAACTCACTTGACCACTATTCATTATCTAGTCCCCTCCATGCACACAAGTTCACTTACCCATTCATTTATTCACTTACTCATTCCAGCAGATCCGCTGCAACTGCTGCTAGCAGGGATGTGAACACTCATAATTATTTGTCAAAGTCTGGAAAGTGTATTATCCCTTCTTCTAGTGGTAATTAGTTACCATAGCATCTAATACGTAAATGTGCCCAGAGCACACCATTAACAGTTAAGCGGAGGATTCAATTTAACACATGATTATATCTTTCATAAGTCATTACATTAGGAAAGCCAATGTCACTCATGCTGGGACAATCTAGGCTCCGAGCCGGGGTAAGGGGCCGGGGAAGGAAGCCAGGCTGGGCGGCGGGGGCAGAGGGAGCTCCGGGTGAGGCTGAGGGAGATCCCGCTTCGGTGGGGCGATTGGAAACGGGGAAGAAGCTCTTTTGAAAGGGTACATGTTCATTTCTGGCTAAGTGATCTGTCAAGCTTTAAGGCGGGCGGGGGAGCCTCTCTCCTCCCCCCAGCCCGGCACACATACGCTTGCATTGGCAAGACCCGCTCAGGGACTGGCCCAGTGGCTTCGCGCCGCTTCCCAGGGAGGATGGCCGGCGCAGCGCGCCAGGAGAAAGGGGCCAGGAGTGGTAGCACCTCTACCTGGCACGGACCCCTCGCCCCCTCCGAAGCAATCGAAGAGGAAGCAGGAGAGCCCAAAGTCGGGCGGCAGCGGTAGCCAGGAATGACAAAGATTTTCATCCCGCTGTCCCGTCGCTCCGAGGCAGAGGCAGGCGAGGGAGCGGCGAGCGGACAGCCCGCTCCGTGTGCCACAGACCTCGCTCCCAGAGCCGGCCGGGAGCGCTCCAGGCCCGGCCCGCACACCTCGGACCCTGCCCCCGGGAGCCGGGAGGCAGGGCGTGGGCCTCCCGCAGCCCCTTGCCCTTTCCCCACCTTAGGTCCCGGCCGCTCCAGGAGTTTGCTGGGACCTGGCTTATTTTCCCCCACCCCACGGCCGGGCAAAGCCGAGCAGCGGCCGCGCCTTCCAAGGGAGCTTCTCCGGGAAGGAAGCCCGCTCGGTAGCCAGAGACATTAGGCGGTAAATATTGCAGCAAATGTGTCCTGCGATGTTATATGCACGAACACACACTCACACAGACACACACACAGGCACGCACCACGCCAAGCTGGTGGCGGTGGTTAATTCCTAATCAGAATGATGGACAGCAGAGACAGAACAATACAAACTAATGGCTGTGTTGCTGATCACTTTACCCCTTGATTAAAGACACCCAATTATGGCGCAGAACAGTGTCGTAATTATGTTCCTTAATCACATCCAGGAGGTTTAATTGCCTTAACGATGTGTTTCATTAAATGAATTTAGGTATTATAGTCGACAGTTTTCATACACAGTTGTTTTCAAATTAACATAATATTAGACATCGTCATGGAAATTGTTTTAATAATCATAATTAGACGCACCCAGCCTTTGTCTAGTAAATGCTGAGAGACGCTTCTCCTTGCGCCTGGGGGCTGATCTGCCCACCCTCTCTGGGCTGCCTTCCCACAGCTCCGTGGCACTTTACAGTTATGTTTCCTGAAAAGTTACAGGTTCTGATTAATCTTTTTTGATGGGAAGTGGAGCAGAAAATATTTATACCCTTCCCCCGCCTGTGGTGCTGCCGTTGGGAGAGGCGGCTCCGCGGACGCCCGGCGCCGGCCCGAGGGGAGGGGGGTCCGCAGGAGCGGGACCCCCGGCCCGGGCTTAGCGCCGAGCAGACAGCCTGGGGGGGCTGCTGCACCCCCTGCCCCCGGGCTCGGGGCAGGGCGGAGGGTCCGCGAGGGGAGGGGCGGCCCCAAACCTCGGCGGGCTGGGAGGAGGCGGGGGGGCGGTGCTGCGGGGTACCCCGCGGCGCAGGCAGCCCCCGGGCTCGGGCAGGGCAGGGCAGGGCCCGGTGCTACCCCACGGCTGCCGCCTGCCACGGGAGCGGGAGAAACGCAGAACTTCTTCCTTCCCTGCCTGGGACACCCCGAGCCGGGAGCCCCCAGTACCCTTACTGGGGCGCGCTCAGAGCAAGGCAAAGGAAAGAAAAGTACCCACCCCCAGCATCCACCTCCTTTAATCTGGGTGGATATGCTTAACAAAGCACAGCGTAATACAAGCGTTTGTTCAAAATATTTTAATAAAGATTCTTTCCGACATAGATACACATACAAACGATCGTACATTGCTGTCATAATCTGATTGACCTATTTAATATATATCACTCTTTACACATCCGTGACCTGCCAACAGATCCATCATGGCTCCTATTTTGCCATCCAACCTGACAGTCCGAATTTGTATTATCTGCAAGTAGTGGAAAAAAGCAGGACTCGTTTTTGAAAAGAAAAAAAAAAAGGGAAAAAAATTTCTTGATTTACAAATGGCAGAGAGACAGCCACCCAGCCATGCAAACTCAAACTGAAGGCTCACTTTGGGTAAATAGCTACTTCTTGCTTTTCATCTCTCATTTTTCTTAAAAAAAAAAAATCAAAACCCACCCCCCACATCCCCTGAAAAAGGAAGAGAAGAATTCCACGCGTTCTGTAAATTAGCCTAAAGTATTTAAAGTATTTCAACTTAAATAATTATCCACAGTCAGAATAATTTACATACACATTAAAAGCGGTTTAAATTATACCTTCGAAAACACAGCGCCTGGGAAAACATTGGCTTGGCAAGTGTTCTTGTAGCAGCTATTGCTCTGATGCCTTGTAAAAGTAAATAGTTATTACCTGTTATAATGCAAAGAATACCCTTTCAAAAATCAGTTGGTTGAGCAATTAAGAATACACTTTTCCTGCAATTTTTGGACTGAAGCAATTTATTAAAGCTCAATTTAAATACAGGGATGATGCAACTTAAAATCCAGATGACCTTTCATAAACCTAAGCAGCTCGGATACATCAACATTTCTGGCTATATGTTGTTGGCAAATAAATGTTTTAAACACTTGGCACACAGTTTAAGTTAATCCATAAACAGAATTTTAGAAGCATTTAAAGTAACTGCACATAAGACCCATGACCTTAACACAAGATAAATATTGTTGGCGTGGAAGGGTCATTTTAAAGAATAACAAATAAATAGCATGTCTTGTTTATACATCATTGCAAAGTGGAAAGAAACAAGGTGCACATAAATATTTCTTTTAAAAATGCGATACTTTCAGCGACACGGAGTAAGGGTTTTGATCGGTTATTTTTTGTCTTTTTTTTAACTCTCTCGATTTTTTAAATCACTCTCACCAAACTTTGCGCATTTTCACAGGATCAAAGTTTAGAGACGATAAAAAATACAAAGTCTTCCATAGCAGTGGTCCAGTCTCTTTGTTTCTGCGAGTCACTTAAATAATAAGTTTACATTTCAAGTTTGTTCGTTTCCTGGCTCAGAATAATAATAATAATAATAATACTGCTAATAATTAATTAAAAAAAAAAAAAATCTATGTTCAAGTGCCCTCTCTGATTTGTCCCCGGCGACAGCCCCGGCTCCCAGCCCGGCCTGCTATTTCCCGGCCTCTCCTTTGTCCGGCCGCGCAGCGAGCCCCCCCGGCGCCCCCCGGGCCGGGCCTTTCCTTGCTGCCCGCGGCGCCCCCGGCCCCGCGCCCCCTCCCCGCCGCCGCACGCACGCTGCCTCCCGTCGCGGTCCCGTCTCGGCGGCACCCGAGAAGAAGAGCGAGGCGAGGCGAGGCCAGTCCGGGCAGAGGGTGGCGGGGGCCGGGCAGCGGTCAGTCCCTCCGCCGCCTCCGCGCTCCCCGGCCCGGGACCGCAGCGCCGGCTGTCGCCGCTCCCCGGGGCCGCGGCGGCGGCGGGGGGCGGCCACGGCGGCGGCGCTTAAGGCTTCTCCGTGCACTGTTTGCAGAGGCTGGAGGAGACGCTGTTGAAGATGGCACATTTCTCCGGGCAGGAGGTGGCGGGGGGCAGCCCGGCGCTGAAGGGGTAACCGGCCGCCTGCTCGTAGGCGCCGAGGGCGGGGTGCAGCGCCGCCGCCGCCGCCGCCGCCGCCGCGGCGGAGCTGGGCAGGGAGGCGGCCGAGATGGCCTGGCCCTGGTTGAGATAAGCCACCAAGCGCCGCATCTCCTCCAGGGCCTGCGCCTGCATCAGGATGTAGTTCTTGGCCAGGAGGAGCGTGGCGATCTTGGAGAGCTTCCGCACCGAGGGACTGTGCGCGTAGGGGATGACCGCCCGCAGCTCGTCCAGCGCGTCGTTCAGGTCGTGCATCCGCCGCCGCTCCCGCGCGTTGATGTTGAGCCGCAGCGCCTTCTGCTCCTTGGACTTCTTGCTGCCGCCGTGCCCGTGGCTGTTGGAGCAGCTGCCCTCGGCCGCCTTCAGCCCCCCGCCCCCCCCTCCGCCGCCGCCCGCCGCCGGCGAGGCGACGCGCGGGTCCCCCCCGGCGCCGCGCAGCACCAGCTCGCAGCGGCCGTCGCTGTCGTCGTCGGGGCTCTGCTCGCCGCCGCTGCTCTCGGCCACCGAGCTGCGGCTGGCGCTCTCGCCGTACTTGACGCAGACGGAGCCCGGCGGCAGCGCCAGCGGGTCGCCGCCGACTCCGGGCTGCAGCAGCGCCTCGGGCTCCGACGCCTCGTAGCAGGCGAGCGGCGAGGGCTGGCGGTCGCGGGGGTGGGAAAGGTCGAGCCCCGGGGGCGAGCGGAAGGCGGACTCCATGCGCTTGGCCGAGGCGGCGAGGCTCTTGTGGAAGAGGTCCTCTTCTGCGGGCAGCCCCAGCGCCCGCTCCATCGGCGCCCCGCTCGCCTCCGCCTCCTCCGCCCCCCTCAGCTCCCGGCCCGCTCCTCCAAGGCTCCGCGCCGCGGCGGGCGGCTCCCCGGCGTCCCGCTGGCAGAAATCGTTTCCCGGCTCCCGCCGGAGCTGCGTCGTGCCCGGCGCCGCGGCTGCCCCTTCTCTGGCTCCGGCGGCGGCTCCGGCTGCGGCTCCGGCGGCTCCGGCTGCGGCTCCGGCTCGGGCGGCGGCTCCGGCTTGGGCTGCGGCTCCGGCAGCGGCTGTGGCTCGGGCTGTGGCTGTGGCTCCGGCTCGCCCTCAGCAGGCGCCGCGCTGGGGCATTGTGCGCTGCCAGCGGAGCCGCTTCCACCGTTTATCTTGCTTGGATTCACCTTCAAGAGATTTCCGGACCCATCAACCAGCAGCCGCCGCAGACGGGGGAGTCTTTTACATCATTATCTCTGAGAGTAGGTTATTATGAAGAAGACTCGCCTGTTGGGACAGAGCTTTCTACCCAATCAGGTTAACGTTTTAATTAATAGGATTAAAACGGTAACAAACAATCCCAGGCGCTATCTGGCCCTGAGTCTGAATAGTTTCTTTTCCCAGGTCTGAAGACAGGCAGCAGCTAGAGCTTTATAAGAGGCGCCTGCTCCATTATTCTCCCTGCCATCTGTATACACAGCTTAACGCATATGTTTGCAAGACGTTGTGTCCTGTTAGTAACCCAACAACTGCCTTTAGCTTGACATGTGTGGCGACTTTCACTCATCAATGAGCACACTAAAAGCCCTACTTAGATCGAAGGATGTTCTTTGCCTCCTTCAGCAAATTACAGCCCTGCACTGCAGAAAAGCCCACTTCAACACTTCTCCTTCCGAGTGCTGCCAGCAGACTTCTGCTAACTTAGCCGTGGAGTCGGGAGTGACACCCTCTCCCCCCTGCCCACCCACCCCCTGCATTTACATTAACTTATAGCTCCCTCCCACCCCCACCCGTCTTCCCGAAAAGCATCGCCTGGGAAAGAAAAACATTAAATTAAAAACCCCCGGAGCAACCCCAGCCGTCGTGCCCACTCCTGCCCACCGCCAAAGTCCACCTTGCTTCCTTGGGAGGCGGGTGGTCCCCAGTCCTCCCTCTCCCCACCCCCCCACCCCCCCTCCAACAAACGGAGACCAAACTACGGGGAGGTTCCCCTCCTCCTTCCCTTATCCCTTTTCAAGTAGCAGATTGCTGCTTGCGAGTGATTATCCCCCGTGTCCCTATAAAAAACATAAAGCCCCATCAGTTACCTTGAAAATGAACGGATCTGGGGAAGAGAGAGGGCGGGAAGAGAAAGGGCAAAACCCACCAAACTTTTTAAAATTTATTTTTTACTGTGACTGACCAACTCTTTGCAGGTCCGTGCCCTCCTGCCTCCCTCCAGCGAGCCCGCCTCGGCCGGAGCACCCCCGCGCTTGTCCCCAACGCCGGGATGCTGCCGCCGGTGTCAGGGCGAGGTGGCCTCGGTCATCCGGATTCTCCGACCCCCTGCTCCTCTCTCGGGGCTTCTCCTCGGAGCCGGGAACACTCTCCTCTGCACTCTTCCAAAAGCTGAAAGTGCAAAGCCGAGGGTCGGTCAGAATTTTGTCCCAGTACTCCTCTGATGCTTGAGGCGAGCAGCTCGCATTCGCCTTTCTGTTAGCACTCACAGTATTTAGTGGCAGGTTTTCATTCTAGTGACATCAGTAAAAAACAATATTTCCCAACACTTCCAAATCATTCTTATGTGGCAGGATTACTGAAGGCTATGAAAATTTTTTGGTTTCTTTGGTTTCATTAAAAACCTTTTAATTGTGTCTTTCGGAGTTGGCCCCAGGTGTTGGACTCTTTTCATTACATTTTGCTCTAATGTGATGAAATTCTAATTCTCTCCTTACCATATGGTTAAATTTCCCCACTGAGAATTAGTTGAAAAAGGAGAAATAATCTATTAATCTCTGTAATAGATTCACAAATGAGGTTTGCCACAGAACCCGTTTTTGAATGGTAATATCAGAACAGTTGGGTGCCTTGTTTCAGGAAAGAAAGGACCAGGCGACAACAGAAAACGTTTGAATTTTCACCTGGAAAGAATGAAAAGAAGCCAAGCTGCAGATTTCAGAGTAATTGACTGAGATTTCATCTAGCGAGGACATGACTACAATACAGACCTTCCTCACCTCGTGTCTCCGGATCAGAGGCGAACATACAAGCCGAGCCCTCCGAAGAGGGAGGGTCTCACCCCCCGCCCCCAGCCCCATTTGGCTGCTGCGCTTGTCCCTGGTCGCCGTCCAAGCGCACAGTCACCGAGCGCCTCGCTCCCCTCCCCCTTTCCGAGGGATGGATGTCACCGTTAACCTCTATCATTATTAATCCAAAGGCATTTTAGGTTTATTGTTTTTCAATTAGCAACTTCATTTTCCCCGGGATCATAAACAAAGGACTTTATGTTCGCAACAGGGATTTGGGGTTTTTTTATTATTATTATTTAATCTGCTTAATATCCAACTTGTAAAACTCGTGTGGTCACTTAAGGATGACGGATACTGTTATTATAATTTGATGGCTAGTGGGAACATTTCATTCCCCTCATCTTATTTCTTCGAAGACAGAGGGCTCCGGTTTGATCTCTCCCGCTGATCTGTGGGTTCACTAGCACTTAGTTTTTTCTGCAACTTTGGGGACGACGTACACTGCCTCTCCGCGGGCGGCGGGTCCCGTTGCCCCGATCGGCGAGGGGTGCTGCCGGGCCGCACCGTCGGGGCGGGGGAACGGGGGCACCGCGGCAGCCTCCTTTCCCCCTCGGCTGCCTTCGATTTGCGCTCTGCTCCTGAAATCTCCCTCTCCGTCTGAGCTTTTTCTGCTCTTCCCTGTTCACCGGTCAGTCTGCATGATCTGCCCCTAGATCCGCTCGTATTCTTTTTACCTGCTTCATCTCGTCTTTTCAACCACCTCTCTTTTCCTTTAATTTCTCTTCACTGTTGCCTTTTCCTCTCCACAGGGTCTGTCCCCTGTTCTTGAGACATGAATCTATCCCTTCATCTTGCCAATGTGCTCATCCGTGACTTGTCGTGCTCTAAAGATGCCAACTTTCTTACCAACTTTACCTTGTGGGAGGTGTGGGAGGGAGTTGGGAGAGCAGAGTGGAGGGGACGAAAAGAGAGCCCCTCTCGCCTTCCCTGGACCCGCCTGTTGTGATCTGCTTCTCCCCACCTCACGAAGAAGGTGGCTGTTTAATAGTCTACGGGAACTTTAGTTTGGGAGCAAGCAGAAGAATTTATAGAAGCTTTAAATGCGGCGCTTATAAAAATACCGAGGAATGGTCTTTGAGGTTTATGCACTCGTAAACTTTTGCTGATTGCTTCTGGGAAGTTGTCAGGCATTTAACACTGCGTTTATCTTACAGCGCAATGAAAACACATCTGCCCAGCGTCTCGTTACCTGGTTTAATTGTACCGCAGCCCTCTGCCACCAGCTCCTCCACACTCGGGTCATTATTTCGGGAAATGAGCAGCCCGGAGCCGAGCTGAGGAAGGGAGCATCCCCCAGGCTCCGCTGTGAGCGGCGGGGCTCGGGCCGTCCTGGGCGGGCCAGGAGGCAGGGGCAGGGGCACAGGGATGCTGGAAGGTCCCAGGATACAGATGAGAGCGGACAGCACCGTGATTGCTGTTTTCCTATGGCGTCTTTAGCAACATCTGCACGAGAGTTACTTTGTTTCGCTCCCCACCTGTGAGAGAAGTAAAATCCCCTTTTCCCCTTTCCCAGGGTAGGGTTTGCAGAAAAAGTTTCCGTGATGAAAAGCACTTTCCAAATTTTGCCGTCAGACGGCCAGGAGCTGAGTGCACACAGATGTCAGCCAGGTTAGTCTCTCCCTGCCTGCTCCGAGCAGAGGGACGGCGTGTGCCCGCTGCAGCCGGGCGGCCCCGCAGCAAGAGGAGGGCTTGGCATCTTCCGCAACTTTCCGGTCCTTCTTCCAGCGGCTCAGCCCGAAGTCTCCTCTTCCTCTGACTCGCCGAGCCTGGGGGAGATCACAGCCGAGCGCCGAGTGCAGCAGGGGCAGCCCCCAGGCGGGATTTGCCCGGCTTTTCCAGCACTGAGTCCAGCTTTGGAGAGCGCTTTCGTTCGCCGCAGCTGCAGCTGTGTTGTGTTCTCTTCTCTGCGAAGAAAACTTTAAGTTCAAGGTGTAGGAAAAAACCCAGTGTAAAGAAATAAAATTACCCTCCCCACTGCATCCTCTCGCGGTGCAAACACGCTCAGAGGTGCGTGTGGGCTCAGAGCAGCCCCAGCAGGCCGGTGCAATGGCCGCGGCAGGGCCCGCCGGCTCCGGGGCGGGAGCAGGCCCGAGCGGGATGAGCAGGGGCCGATGCTCCCACCCCCGGGACGCCGGCACAGCTCCCCGGTGCCGGGGGAGCGGACGTGAGTGTACAGCCGGGCTTGGGGACTTTAGTGTGGCTGCGGAGAGGCGGCAGCACTGCCCCCGTTCGTGCTCCTTAGCGGGGGTACAAGGCCGCGTTGGTGAACTTGACCTTCAGTGTGGCTGTGGAGAGGCGGCAGCACTGCCCCGTTCGTGCTCCTTAGCGGGGGTACAAGGCCGCGTTGGTGAACTTGACCCACAGCGCAGCGAGGCTGAGGCTTCTCGCCGTGAGGCACGACACCCTGAGAGCCCGGCCTGGGGTGACCGCTGGAGGCGTAAGGAGGGCTGCAGAGTGATCAAAGGCACCTCAGCATTCCCGCGGAGACCTGCCGGGTGTCCCGGGGTCCCCTTGGGGCTCCGCGGGGACCCACGGCCCCGGCCCCGGCCCGGCCGCCGAGCTCCCGATCCAAAATCCACAGCACCATCTCCTGGGCGTCGGGAGAAGTGCACGGCCCGCCTCGGAGACGGCGGGCTGGTGGCGGTGGTGGAGGGAAGGGGTGAAGCCGTAGAAACTACGTGAAAATGTGAAAAGAAATCGCATTGAAACGTAAAAGACCCTTTCAGCGTTTTTCAGCATGGGGCGATAATTAATTTCCTTTGGTATCCCTTCTGAAATTGAAACCTGTGGGCTGTCTGTGCTTGGACAGGAGTCAGGAGGCTCTCAGGGGGTGTTTTCTGTTCGATTATATAGGCATGCTAGAAAATCCATGGACTTGAAACCAATTAGGATGGAAAAGTCTGATGCTATCCCCGCTTCAGGGATAACACAGGGCATGTAGGCCCTGAAAACTCACTGAGTCATTACACTGAGGTTTGTGGAGAAAAATGGGAAGGTCCTAACATAAAGCAATGTTATCTGCTTTGGTTTGGAGAAGTTGGAGTTCCTTCCTTCCTTCCTTCCTTCCTTCCTTCCTTCCTTCCTTCCTTCCTTCCTTCCTTCCTTCCTTCCTTCCTTCCCTGCCACCCCCTCTTTTCTTCCTTTCCTTCCTCTTCTCTATTTTCTTTTCTCTCCTGCCCCCAGAGAAGCTCCTTCTGGCCCTCCAAGCCATTTTTTTCCTCATGAACACAGTTCCCCATTCATGTGCACTTTTGCATCCCAATAAATGCCTGGCTGAGTCTCAGCAGGAGCAGGGGCCAGAGCTCTGGCCATGTACAGTTAATATTTACTCCCTGTCTGGCTTTCCCTTTTAGTCTTGACCCTATTTTCTTTGAAAACCTTCCACTGTAGGGAACGTGGCACTGAGCTTATTCTTCCCACCCTTGTCTGACTAGGCTATAGATGTCTATTTTCAGTTAATATTTCATCACCAAACACTTTCTATAGGCTTTTGCTTTTCCTTCCAAGCTTCTTGAACTCCATCCAGTTCACTTTTATTGGTACTGAAAGTACTTAAATCTGAAAGCAGTAGTCGAGATGCTATCTCATCAGTATTGTACACTGAGAGAGGCATCTATCACTTCCCGGGTACGTGACATGATGTCTCTGTGTCAGAAGACCAAAAATTGCATTGGATTTTTTTTTTTGGTCACACTGCTAGATTCTATTTAATTTACTGAAGCCCATACATACAAATCTATATGTTAGTAGGCATGTATATTATACCTACTGTATTCCCTTCAGTCACCACTTTGCAATTATAGGAAGAAAAAAAATACTTTTGTGTGCCTTCTTTCCATTCCTTATAAATCCATGCTGTTTACTGGTTGTGGATACATTCTCCCCTAAGTGCTTAAGATTTTTACCTTTTAATATTTTTTCCACTATATTACTGCAGGCTGAAGTTAGGCTTACCAGATGGTAGATGACAGGTTCACTCTTTCTCTTCCTCTTCCTTGCCACTTTAAAAGATCAGTAACCTTCTCCTCTTTCTTTTCAGACATCTTAGAGCTCACTAATTCTCCAAGAACACTAAAATATTGTCAGTATTTTGGATATACTCATTAGTTAATTCCCTTTTTTCCCATGTTGCACATCAGAAGGATATGCTCAGTTTCACATCTTTAGTTTTCTCTCCCTCAGCCTTCCCTATGACATTCTCACAACAATCCTAACTACAAGGTTCAAGGTTGTTTTTCCTAACTATGTTTTCTTTTTCATAAAAATTGCAATTAGTTCTTTTTAAAATTTAGAATCATCACTCCTTTTCCTCCCTTCTTTGTAGAATAACAAATCTCTTTTATTTCTAGCAATGCCCTTCTTCCCCTTGTAATTAAAAGATCATTTAGAATCTATACACAGCTAAGTCATTTCTACATTGAAAAATGGAGGCACTATGACTTGAAATGCTCTTATACTCTATAAATAAGGCAATTTTATATGTTTAATGAGTTATCATGGGCATAAAATAAAAAAATGTGTTGAAATACAGTTCAGTAAGAGTCAAAATCCATGTATTTAACAGTGAAAAATAATTTTGTTCTCAAACTCTTCCTATATTTCAAGTATTTCTGAAGTAAAGTATAAGCTCATTTCCCATTATATCCCTCTAGTTGCCACAATAAGTAACAAGAAAGAACAAAGAATTTCCTTCCTGGATTACTTTGCTAAATTCATACTTTAATCTCTTGGTAGACGATGTTTTTCAAACACACTCAGATGTCTGATTGTCAGCTTTATGTCTCAGCAAGTATTCCCAGCAATTCAGGTACAGTAAAGTATCTACCTCTAGCAAGGCTCTGTGTACTATATAACTTTTATAGTCATTATAAAAAGTAATTTATTGAAAAAACTTAAACCTTTTCCAACTCAGCTGACTTTTGATTTAAAGGTGTGTGATCCTGGTTATGGTAATCAGGTGTGGTAGGTGCTTTTTTCAGAATTAGGTTTGCTGTTTATGTCACAAAGTTTAGAAGCTCTGAGAGTAACATCCTCTAAAACATAGCATGTTCAGAGAAACAGAGATATCAGCTCATGTTTCACTGTTACAGTGCCTGGAATTGCACATAATACAAG